CAAAAAAAAAAGACCTCTTCAGCCCTTCCCCCAGGCAAATAATCAATGGAAAATAATTACCTCATTCTCACAATGTATACCCTAATACCATGCTTTTACTAAAACATTATCCGAAGTATAATGCAAGTCCTCTTGAGTTTTGAGTTGTGCACAGGCCATGGTATTTGAACTCATTAACCGACGACCACAAACTCGGTTGGTGTACGTAAAAGTTTTTGTATTTTTATCGTAGATTTTTTTAAAAGGTACTTGTTTGGAAGATTTGAATTAAAAATTATTTTACTGTCAATTTTTGAGACTAATTGCGTTCATAGAATAATAGTAAGAGCAGTTTTCAATTGTGTTTTAGAAAACCAAAACCTGAGTTATCCAAACGACCAATCAGAATAAAGATTCAAATTATCATTAGGCAATGAGAACTCAATATGAAAACTAGTAGACTGCTTGGAGCGCGGGAAAACGCGGCGACCCAGTCGCGATTGTATTTTAGCTTTTGCATCTGATTGGTTGAGAGGATGGCGCGAGTTTCCTGGACCAATCACAAAACAACGTTCGGTAACACTAAAACACTAAAATCCGGCCGGATTACTTTCGACACTAAATTAAAAATTGGTCCAAAGATGATTATGTCGATAAGAGCAATTTATAATTTTCTATTGAGCGTTGAGTTCTCATCGTGATGTTTCCCTTCGTTCCGATTAGCCGTAGTTATTTCTTTAGCCAGTTCTGGTTGTACAACCCGCGATCAAAAATAGGCTTACGAGATTGCGCGAGTAGAAAATGAAAAGGCCACATGATTGACGGAACGTATTTCTGTAATGCACAGAACATTTATCCAGATCAAACACTATTGACATAGCTATCAAACTTACAATGCACGAGGTTAAAGCTCACGGTTAATATTGCAAACAGCAGTCGGGGAATTTAAATATATTCATCATAATGAAAGAGAAAAAGTATTCATAAATTCCTTAGTAGATTTGGAGTCAATCGATTTTCAGGGAGGCTGTAGGAAAGCAGGCTGTGTAAGTACTGAAACAACATTGAGTTGCTCGGAAAGAAAATTGTGAAATTTTTGGCGAGTCTAAGACGAAGAAATACGAACTACAATGTTTTTGGAAATGCAAACACGACTGAACATCGAACATTCCTTAACAGCATCTTAGACGAGTTGAAAGACCTCTTCATCTCTTCCGCAGCGATTCCTGTGCATTTTAACGTAATAAGATAACTGTTGCAGTGCTGGTCAAGGTTCTGATTCTGACAATTATATTAGTTTCACTCTTCTTTGTACAAAATTATGATGAAAATACTAGAAAAGATAGATATTTATCAAATGCAACTTCGTAATTTACTAAACACCGTGACGATTTCGACAAGGTGGCTTAATTTTTCATACTGTAGTCTCAAATTATTTTGGCACTTAACACTTCAACTCCAAAAATATTATTACGTATTCACTCTCTCGTCTGGTTACTACGCGTTACCCTGTAAATTATTTAAGATAATTTAATGTTATATTAAGGTTACACCCTCAAGCTGATGAGTTTGTCTATTCTCCTCACCTACCCACTGGATAATGAATTGAAATTGACAGAGAAGTTAAATGTTAGTTATTTCTGGGAGTAAGGGAAATAAATCAGATGACGCATAGACATGAAAGGTTCTCTTCGGAATTTTAATATGTAAATATAAAACTACTCGGGCATTCTTACTTCTGGACGATCTGGAAAGGAATTTATCCTTTTGTTTTCATGATCCACACTGTGAATACATCATTACATACCTTCTTTACACAGATGAAAAAGATGAAGATCTTAATAATATTATTTTTGGTGATAAAAGGTAAGAAATTATTGTATTGGTTATACATTTGTTTCTCATGTCTGAATCGTATTCCTTACATCTTTGAATCATAATAAAATGAGAAGAACAGCCTTGATACCTTTTAGCGTTCGTGTATCTGTTCCAGGCGATTTAAAAATATTGATTGGATCCAAAGCCCCAAACCACTCGGCAACGCCTTCTAACTCCCACTCCACTGAAAGATTACCTCTTCGGTCACGTTTCGTCAAAACATGAAAAATTTCCGACATTGTTGCTAGCACTCCGAGAAATACTCTATCCAAACCTCAGAATCCTTGGACCCTTATCTCCTTTGCCCAGATAATTGTTTATGACGTTGGCATGTTCCGTTCAATTGCCTGCGACCTCCCCAGGACACGAAAATCGCAAACTCAGTCAGTCGTCAAATGACTATATTGTCCGGCAACTAAAAATTAGTTCGTGTGTTGTTTTACGCAGGAACGTCGGCGCAAAGTTGCAAGGAAGGCTCTGTAGAACACGACCATCTTGGTCAGCGTCGCACGTGTCGTGGCGGGAAATGGAGCGCGCCTTGCCGCGTGCGGCGAGAATGGAACGGAATGCTTCCTGGAGAGAGGTGGGTAGATGTCACTGTTCATTTACAGTGTGAGAAAACTCCTCTCTTCCCTTGGCCTCTGTTATCTTTTGACCTGTAAATTGTCCCCACTCCCTTCCCACATAACCTCAGGAATATTTTCTCTCGTTAACATGCACGAGAAGGAGGAAGAATTTAAACATAATCGCAACTGGAAGACGCCATTGGAGTATGATGTGTCTCATAAAAAGAAAAATGAATTGAAGCTTAGAAATCCTTCCAGCTAATTGGGTTTTCCTTTATCAAAAGCAGTATCAAAACAGAGTTATTAGCTTAAAAAGAAACTGTTGGTATGCGTCAGTATTTCCTGTGGTTTTCATAAGAGAGCCTTTAAAAAAGACTCCTAAAACCATTTGTGCCATATTTCATCTCTAATCTCCCATTTCGATTAATTCTGCTGCGCACTGTCTCTGCTATTGGTCAGAACTCACAATTCTCAATCTAAGAAACACCAATCTTTATTACTGTAAAATTTCTTCTCCTTCTGCCAGGTACCGTTTCATAAGCACACTAAAAAAGGCATCAACAAGATCTGATTATCGAAACCTTGTCATCAGACACACAAAACAGTTCAGTAATATTCATAACAACAGGCAGTTCCTCCCTTGGCATCGCTGGTATTTGTTGCAGATGGAGAACATTCTTCGTAAAGTGGACCCAATTGTGACGGTGCCCTATTGGGACTGGAGTCTATGGTCCGGGGCACCCTGGTTGGATAAGGTACCTATCAGTGATTCTCTAATAAAATATCTGGAAATAGTCTAACAGCAATCATTAAATTATTGCGGATATTAGTCCAGGATGTTATCGATTGTGCTTAACTTTGCCCCTGCGATTTAGTAAGAAACTCACGCCTCTCTCTCAATTGATCAGTCGCAAACAAAATTAATTGACCCTCGATTACTATCCTTTTCACGCGCTTTATATATTTCATGTGTCTGCTTTGAGTCCCATTGGCCCCAATTGCCTCCCTCTGACTAAGTATAGTGATAATCTTCAGATATAGTTCTACAAAACTCCTGTCGGAATTCGCTTTTTACGTTTTATAATCACTCCATGCCGCGGCCACAAAGCTTGTAATGGTGAACGTAAAATCATGGTAAGTGGAGGAAGGAACGAGAGGGGAATAAGGCAAGCAATGTCGCCCTTTCCTAGAACCTTGCAGGTTTTCGCTATCCTGTTTTTACACTCTTGGGAAAAGCGGCACTAAAGAGGATTCAATTTCTCGATTAGGACTCTTCTTTCATTGCTTTCTCGAGTAGGTAACTTAGCAAAACTGCATAACAACGCTCACATAACTCTAATTTTTCGAGCCTTGGAAAATCTTTTTTTCCTAACTCTCTTCGTTTTGATACACAATTACCAATTTCCAGGTCATGAGCACGTGGAGCAATGCACCATGGGGCTTAGGAAGCAATGGTGGAAGAGATGGTTGTGTGTACAACGGACCCTTTGGGAAACGGCATTTTACGCTGACAAGCGGAGGATGCCTCAAGAGAAATTTCAATGGTAATTTTTAATGCTTTTTCAGCTAAAATTTCTCCTCAGAAAGTTTATGGATCATAGATGTTTCTGAAGTTGTTAGAAGACGCAATACAAAAACTCAAAATGTTTGTTGGAAAGAAGAGTGTGTTGGATTATTTTTGCCCGGGCTAAATTGTACCTAGAACTGAAAAGTTGCCGCTTTTCTATTGAAAAAAATCGTCGTATAAATAACGACACGAGCTGCGCAACTTTTTGGTTTTTTTCTTAATCGCGTCGCAGAAATCTTCAAAAAGGGAACGTGTTCAGAGGTTACAGGTATCTTATTACTCAACAGGTAATCCCCCAGACTGCATAGCAGTTCATAAATGCCTGCGCATCCTCTCCAACAAGTTCACCGACTTCGAAATGACACTCCGTGACACCTTGCATAACAACATGCATTGTAGGATTGGTGGTAGAGGCGGGACCATGTGCAGCAGGCAGTCAGCCAATGCCCCAGAATTCCTCTTGCACCACGCATTCACCGACAAACTCTGGTCTGATTGGCAGAAGAAGGGAACCCGATATAAAAATGCTTACTTTCCAGGGACCATTTATCTCTACGGAGTGTCCCCCCGGCTCAGGCCTCTGAACTTGATGGATCTGTCCAGACAGCCCGGCGGGGTTTGTGTGACCTATGACGACCCTCCTCATGAGAACTACAAATTATGTCACGAGCAACTTGCCAGTCTAAGCTTAGCAGAGATTGACGCTATTCCCAGACAGAAGTTCACACGCCTTAGTAGTCTGGAGTTCGACTTGTTCATGACAAGGAAGAGGGAGAAGGCGCAAGTAAACAGAGAAATGAATGACCTTGAACCCAAGCACGTCTTGTCGAAAAGCACCAAATTGAATTCTCAGGACAATCAATTGGGCTTCAAGGCAGAGGATGTCAAAGAAGCTATAAAAAGAAAGAAGAAGAAGAGAGAAGAAATAATCATGAAATCAAATTTCCATTAGCCGACAGAAAATCTGAACATCATTGACTACAGAAGGTCCTATGAAGGGACTGTCATTCAAGTGGGATTAGCTCTTTGTGTAACAGACTCCTTATAAAACCCCATTTTTATATCCTCTAACAGAGAAATACTCAAGAAAAAAGAAACATGATGGTTTCTGTATGTGTACATTAAGACATGAATCAGTCCCTCAATAAACTTGCTTTTATCTTTGTTTGCAACAGTAACGCTGAAATAGGAATCTCTACACTACAAATTTTTAATAGGCGAAGAGGCTTGGGTACTGATCTAGAGCCTCTGGGGACGAGAATTGTTCTTTGCCTCCTTATGTCACAACCATATCGTCCCTTCCCCACTCCCCTAACTAAACTGTTTGTCTCGCCTTAGCGTCCTCACTTGTCGGCTTTCTCTCATGATTCCGTGGGCATGTAGATTACCAGTCCAATAATCACAAGGAAAAAATTTCTTAAGTTGCAATGGTGTTGCAGTTTTCGGACTGATACGTAAAGCAATGACAAATTCCTCAAGCAAGGACATCGAGGCTTAAATATCAATGGATTTATCTCCTATTTGGGCGTTATGGCACAAAATACTCTTCAGTACTAGGATTAAAAGGTTTCCATTCGATTTCGTTTTTTGCTCTGAGACTGTATTTTCACTAAAAAGAAAAAAACATCACAATTGGGTGTTTCGTACACGACAACAAAATATTGCCGAAGAAAGTTATTTTGATGAATTTAATTCGGCTTTTTAACCCCAAGTCTTTGCATAAGTTTGTAGTACGCATTACACAACACCTTTCCAAAATTATACATTTTACCTCTTGCATGTTCAGTTTCCTCTTCTTAAAACTTCGAAGAGAACTAGTTTCACCAGTTCTAGGTGAACTCAAACTGATGTGGCGCTTTTAGCATGTAGTACAGGAGACTAAGTATTGCTTATGAAACCAGAATACAATATTTTGATATAATTTGTTAACGCCTATGAAATTCAATCCAGGTAAAGGCTTGAAGTTTAACGCGAGATTTTTCATTCGTGACTCTGGGAGAGCCATTGAGGGAGAAAATGGTTCCCAAAGAATGACTAAATCGGTCAAGAAAGGAAACTTCACCAGAGGCTATAACAGTTGAGCAGAGTGTTGGGTACATCTCACACTTGCAAACACCAGCAAAAATGAAATTTTACTTTCACTAATTTCCTTCGTTATAGGAGATTTGGGTAAGGACACGTCACTGAATAGTGTACGTCTTGCAGCGGATCAACAGATCATCGAAGAGGAGTGAATTCAATCCAGCAACATTTCCCGAATATTACTGACTTGGGCTTCGCTTTCCACTTACGATTTCACTGACTGTCATGCCTTTTTTCTCATCGCACCGCTATAAATGATAATTGTCACATCATTTGCGGTTTCCGCTGCTTTTCTGAGATCATTCGCAATAGTTTTGCTCCTAGCTCAGTAATAACTGACTCTGATTACATTTTTTGATCAAACTCTTTTGTTAAGTCAAGCCAAGTGTCCTATCTAGAAAAAAAAAATCGTCCCAGGTCTAGTTAGAGTAATCTCCACCGCGCGTGAGAGGAATTTAGTACTTCACGAGACATGAAAAGAAGAAAGCAGTGTAAGACAATAGTTTCGTTGGAAAATCATGATACGCATGTGGAATGAGCGACTGGCGGGGAGTAAACATTTTACGGAGTATTTTTTTCAGTGTTTGTTTAAGTGGACAAGGTGAATGTCAGCGTGCGACAACCTTTTTTCTTTGAGGTACGCTGTTTGTGTCGCAGTCACGGTTTTGATTCTTCAATGCCGGACAATAGCTATTTATAAAGTCAAAACACGTTCGCTGATTAAAACTCGAATTAATGTCAGATTTTCGAAAAATTTAAACAGTTTTCAAATGCAGTAATGATGAGGAAAATATAATTTTTGGTCACTTATATATTTTAGCTATGGCAATTTCTATTCTCTATATTACAGAAAAAGCTTACTAGTGACTCATTACACAACTACGTAAACAAACACTTTGCACCATCGTTTCAACATGCGATGTTTGCCGTGAAGGTGCAGGAATATCAGTGTTTCATTTTACCCCGAAATTAACTTTTTTTCAAGTAAAAATGAATGCTTTGAGCGATTTTTGAAACACTTTTCAGAAGGCTTTAAAACTCTAATTTTCACCTTAGCATCCAGCAAGTAGCACTTAATTTACATTTCAAAAACAGTTCCTAACGTGAAAAACTTTTGCTGCTATGTAAAAATAAATAAATCAATCAATCAACTGCAAAAATTGACCTTCAGTCTGGAATATCTAAAACAAGAAAATAAGAATACTTCAATGTAAGTAAAGGATCTTTTCGAGAGACAAGGTTTTGTTGTTAAAACAGAGTTTTAATGTTATCTCACGCTGAAGTTTACCGAAAAAACTGAAAGTAAAAGTGTTGTCGGTATACGGAAGATTCGGTGCTGCTTCTGTCCTGTCCAAAAGAGCCACGGACAAAGAAAAGACAGCAACCGACTTAATTAGCTGACATGACTGTCATTATTTTACTGACTTTGTTTCCCCGCTGGAAACAGCTTTCATAAAAGCTCAGTTTACATTGCTGAAAATAGCGAAACATGTTTGAGTACTCAGCAAAAACTTGTTTCATCTCAGCAATGGTAATAAAGAACCTCGTATGATAAAAGCGACTGTTTGAACTCTCATAGTCATTTGGTGTTCTACTTCTAGAGAGAAAAGAGTTCCCAATAAGAACGAAGCCCTTCCTCCGCGAGATTTATCCACGAACATGAAGCCTCTCACCGTGGCAGTCCTCTTTGCGCTCGTTTTCGCCCTCGGCGTGAATTCCGCGTCCGTCAGCCTTTCCAGTAGCCAACTGACGCTCAATGGTAACGCTCACATTCAGTTTTACGGTCCTAGAGAAGCGATTTGGGCTGGTTTATCTAACGGTAAAAACTGGAATCATATTTAGTCTGATCACTGTGAACGTTCCAAAAGTTGCCTGCACCGTGAAACTAAGAGGCCGGTTTTGAGGGCGCGCAAGTAGGAAATGCATTTGCCAATTTTAGTGAAAGGCAATTCTGGTGAGGCCGACGCAATCCTTTGCAAAAATTTAGAAATAATTCAATTTTTCAGATTTTCCTCTGTTCAATTTTTTACCAAATACAAACTAAAACTACTTGTGAAGAAAGCTGTCTGTTAATTTTTTACAAGTATTCTTACATCGTAGGTCACCGATATCCCATCATTAATAGTGGTGATCGGATCGCTTTGCGGTCAGCCTACACTTCTGGTAGCTATGTTAACTACTGGATGCGCTGTAAATCGTCATATTGTCGTTGGTATACCTGCCCTGGTCAGGTGATGACCTCATCAGCCTGGTCGTCTTGCTCAAGCTACATGTTTTATTACATTCACGCCATGGGGAAGATGAACGGCCAGCCGATTAACAGCGGTGACGTAGTGTCGCTTAGTAGCTACGGCTATGGAAGCAGATACCGGCTGTACTGTGGTACATCAACCAGCACTAAATGCTACATGGCTTCGTGAGTGTTGTTTGCTTCTTATTAGTCTGTATTAATTTTTCATAATTAATCTGATAGCAGAAGTTGCTTAACTATTAAAAAGAGAGAAAAAGCAGACAAAAATCATGTTTGTTAGGGCTGCATGACACTTGGTATGTACGTCAATGCCTCTATTTCACTGATGGTCAAACTTTTCCATAAAAGTTGCCATCTCTATTTATAGACTGAGGCTGACAACATATTTACTATGGCAGTTATCCTTAATTAAACAAATGGGAAATGCAAGTTTCTATTTGTATTTATGTGAAGGGAGGTTAACTTAATAAAGGCGTTGTCATTAAGAGAAGAGCTTATGAAAAATCCTTTTTTCCCACAGGACAGTCAGCTCATTGACGGGAAACAACTGGTTCTACTATAACTACGTAACGTTCCAGATCTTTTCCAAGTACGCCACTGATGGTACCCCTGTGCAGTACGGTGATGTGGTAGCCTTCAAATACCCCTACGCCTATAACAGCGCCTGGTTGTATTACTACAGCAGGTATTTTTATCCTCGTAGCTGCAGCTCGAACAGCAAAAGCTCTTGCGCCACTGAAAATCGAACCACTGGCTTCAAGATCTTTAAAAAGCTTTAACGCATGACATTGACATCTGAAAGCTTTGAAGAAGGTTTCAGCCAGAAAAGTGTCACTTGCAAGTTAAACTGTATTTTACCGTTTCTCATAAACAATAAAATCGACGAAAGTTGAAAAATGTCTGGCTTGATCTGCGATTTTTTTCCTCCACAAAGGTAATCTGGCTCCTCCTCCAAGATGCTTACAACAACTGCAGCATCAACAACCAAAGAACAACCTAGGTGTCGCAGTTTGCAAAACCTGTGTAAAATCTAGGTTGCAGAGTAAATTTCAGAAAATTGGTTCCATATAGAAATGAAAACGAAGGACTGCAAAGAAGTCTGTAATTAGTACAAACGTCGATGAAATTCAACGCTTTATTGCAATTCAATTCTCGAAAAAAAATTTCTTGGTTGGTCAGTCGCTCTCATAAAATACATCAACTGCACACAGTATTAATTTTGAAAAGCATTTTCTCACTAAAGCACACCTAATTACTCTACATTTCCGTAGAGTGGAATAATTAGAGCATTCCCAATCGGTCTTAGAGCTCGAAGGGGAGGGGGGGGAGGGATGTCTCACGTGATTAGCAGGAAGAAGCATAGGATGGCCTAAAGGAGAATCAATTGAGTCTTGCAGCACCACTGCTGTATGTTTCAAACCCCCACTTTGAAGCTCAAACTCTTTCTCCCTCCCTCTTCTGAGTCAAAAGACAGCATGAGCTAAACAGTCAATATTATGATAATACTATAAATGCACCTAAAATCAACCCTTAGGCCAATTCTGTTTCCATATGAAGTGCTGTGATTAAGGTGTGTTTTTCACAAAATGAGTTGGTCTTACTGTGTTACCTGTATGTTGGTAAAGCTTTAAAAATAACCATTAAAAAGATAGTTGTGAAGGGTTCTCATGAGGCTTGCTATCATCAAATCTGCTGTCTCACTTAACTGTGTCAAAGAATTTTAATTCCCCCTAAGTTACAGTATTTAACAGAGTCAATTAAAAATAGAAGTGCTCAGGTTGAATTCGAAGTTGGCATTTGCGGAGGTCCCTAAAGTTTC